CCTGAGAATTTATACCAATTCTCTGAGCACAAGTGTACTCTTAAAGTGATGCCTTCAGAAGCATTTCCATAAGGTTTTCTTCTAGTACTTGAAGACCTCCTTGTTTTAAATGGTTTTACAAGCTTTTCCCCCATAAGCTGTCCAAATCTGTGTTTATAAAGATTTAACTTTTACTTCCAACTACCTTATAATAATTAAGAAATGTAAATAAATGACCCCGTGGTCTTCAGGAAGTAGAAGACAAAAATTTGGCAAGATTTATTTAGTGAAATCCATTTTCACTAGAGATTTCCTTTCCTTCAGAAAATAGGTACTAAAAGGCTACCATTGCCAACCAGGTACTTTTCTAGGTATGGAAACCAACATGATGCAAAGTCCCATGTAAATTCCATGGTTTTGTTCTCCAGAAGTAGAGTCCAGTAAAGGGATCAGGCACAAACCTCATGAGATTCCCTCGTTACTTGAAACACTTCAGAGATTAATTCCTATAAGACAAACTTTAATATGTATGTGACCAAGCTTCAGACCACAAAATGGTAAGAGCATTAAGAGACTAACCAATGGATAAACAGTTAAGTTTCAAAATGAAGCTAGCACACAGATACGTGCTCATTTAAAAACCAGGGCCAATATATATATACTGGAACTGGCAGAAGAACACAGATTTTCTGGTGTGCGATCTTTACTCACCCACACTAAGGAAGGCAAACTCCAGCTTCACGTGATAAGCTGTGTGTGTATGTAAAACATGATAAACACACTGTATTGTGGCTCTAAAGTGATCTTTACAGGATTATTAGGAAGATAAATGAGAATGAGCTAAAATGACTTAACATCTGTCTCTCCTACAAGGCCATCTTGTTTACTGTTTTAACCAACAACTGGACAATGTCTGGCATGTAGCATGTACTCAGTGAATACTTTTCAGTGAATTAACAAATGTTAATCAGGTTCTTGTTGTTATACCATGCACCCCAAGATATGCTCTTCAAATGGCACAAATCTTGAGAGAATAAAGGACAATCAATGTATAATAAGTATTACTGCATGAAGGAGTAGGTTTCTCAGCTGAAGATCTACTTGGTTAATTCCATCTTGACCCTTAAAATGGCCTAAAACCATCTCATCTTGCTGGAAAAAAGTAATTATGTTTGTCTTCAGACTACTGATGACTTAAGTTGTATTAGCTCAGTGGTCCTCAAATGGGGCCAATTGTACCACACCTTCAAGCCCCCTAGGTCATTTACTAATATCTGGAGATATTTTGGGGTGTGAAAAGAAGCCAGAGATGCTGTTAAATATGCAGCAATGCACAGGACAGTCTTTCACAACAAACAATTATCTAGCCACAAATGTTAAGAATGCTGCTGTTGAGAAACTGGCTTAAAACAAGCCATCTCATTTGTCCAAGGGAGAGGTAAGTGGCACAGTGGAAAGAACATTTCAAAGTCATGGGTTCAAATTCTGGCTTTCCTGCTCAGCCCTAGTGGGACTTCCCATGACCCTCAGTTTTCCAATCATGAAAATGGCAATGATATCATCTACTCTGCAGGGTTGTTGTAAGGAGTTAATGGGAAGGTATGTAAGGCACCTGACATATAATAGATCAACAAATGGTAGCTATTCTTAATTTATAAGAATATGTATGAATTGCTTGATGCCAACATTCCTTCTAAGTAAGAAAAGCATTTTAAAGATGCTTAACAAGTTAAACAAAAAACTCAGAATGTTAAAGCTTGATAAAAAAGTTAATATCCAACTAAATATTTTACACAGAAGAAAACACAGGTTTGGAAAGAATGACCTACCCAAGATTGTACAGCAAGTTAGCGGCGATTCACATAAAATAATCCTGCTGTTTGCTCCACCACCATTTTCCTATTCATGCATACATAGTTAGGCTTTTATTAAGTCCTAAACTATGTCATTATTTATGAATATGTCATCAATTATTTAAGTCAATTTGAATATGATATTATGTTTGCCAGAATTTTATATTCTAGTATGATTCAACTATAAAATAAACTAAGATTTCTACAGATAGGTGCCTATCCTAAAATTTTCATAACATATTTGAACTAATCTGTGGAATCTGCCCATTGTTTCAGTATCACCTTAACAAGTTCTATTATTACTCACAATGGTCTATTTTTTTTTTTTAAACAGAGTTTCACTCTTGTTGCCCAGGCTGGAGTACAATGGTGTGATCCTTGGCTCACTGCAACGTTGGCCTCCCGAGTTCAACTGATTCTCCTGCCTCAACCTCTTGAATAGCTGAGATTACAGGCATTGGTCACCACTGCTGGCTAATTTTATATTTTTAATAGAGACGGGGCATTTTTCTATGTTGGTCAGGCTGATCTCGAACTCCCAACCTCAGGTGATCCACCCGCCTTGGCCTCCCAAAGTGATGGGATTACAGGCATGAGCCACCATGCCTGGCCACAGTGGTCTACTTTTTTAAAATTAATATCTTATAAGCTAGGTGCAGTGGCTCACACCTATAATCCCAGCACTTTGGGGAGGCAGAGGCAGGTGGATTACGTGAGGTCAAAAGTTTGAGACTAGCCTGGTCAACGTGGTGAAACCCTGTCTCTACTAAAAATACAAAAATCAGCCATTGGTGGTGGTGGGCACCTGTAATCCCAGCTACTTGGAAGGCCGAGGCACTAGAATCACTTGAACCTAGGAGGCAGAGGTTGCAGTGAGCCGAGATTGTACCAATGCATTCCAGGCTGGGCAATAGAGTGAAACTCAGTCTGAAAAAAAAAATTAATATCTTACAAGATCAATATTAAAAATTATTCATTTCTGGTTTAAATATTTCATGAATAACATGGTTAGAAAAAATCTGAACAAACACAGAAGCCACATACTATAAATAAATAGGAAAAAAATTTTTCAACTTTAGTAGTAACCTAAAAAAAGAATTTAAGACAGAATTAGCATTTTTTGACTCCGAATGTAATATGTAGCAAAGGGTTTCTTTATTCATAATGCTCAGTGAAGGCATAAATTCATATAGTTTTGGGGGACTCGAATCTGCTCTTACTTCTCTAGACCCATAGGACAACATGCCCTAAAAATGTCCTCTCTGGTTCTCAGTAGAAATATACTCAACTCAGCATTAGAAAGTCACTACATAAATGTTCAAAAATAGAGAAATTGTTAACTGCATTATATCTAATTGTGTTATATCTATTTCTAATGGAAATAATGAGATAGCTGTTAAAAATGTTTAAAATAATTTTTAATAACTGATAAAATGCTTAAAGTTTATAAAGTTTCAAATCATGATTTAGACCTGTATACAAGTATAATCTCAACTATGAATATATACAATATATAAACATGAAAGAATTTGGAATAAAATATTTTTAAAAACATTAACACTGGTAATTTTGAGATAGTCTATTAATAGCAGATTTTAATTTTTTCAGTGTTTTATACTTTGTACCATGAACACATACACTTATTTTGGAGTCAGAAAACAGATCTTCATTTTAATCAAAAAGTTTAATTTTGATTAAACTTCACATAACCATGAAGCCTATACACTGAACTTAATGTATTGCTTTTACATTTAAGATGTGGGAAAGAGATGCATTCCTTTAAGTCTTTTTTTCTTTCCTTTTTTTTAAGGCATAACTTCATAAAATGCAAGGTAAGCATGGTGCCTCGACACTGAAAATGACTGTTCACACACAAGGCCGTGAGTCACGTGTATACACTAATAATGCCACACTCAGTATTAAACCAGAAATTAGGTTCAACTGAGTATATAAGCTTCTTGACATATAAGATAAACATAATTTAGTATATGAGCTTCTTGGTAAAGACAAATATGTGTGTTCCTGCAAAGAAGCACTACATGTAATTATAAATGTTGCAAAGCTAATTAATTAAAGCATTCAGTTCTGGGTTTTGTTTTTTGTTTTTACCAAAAGATAATTATTAAAATTTATTTTATAAGTGTCTGGATAAATTATAATAAATAGCATACTTAAATGCTGATATAATTTTGGGATACTTCTTTCTGAATATTAGTTGTGAAAATGGAATTTAAATGGTAGTCTGCAAAAGAAACCTCAGATAATTGTTGCAATAAAACATTTTTATACCTATACTTTTATATAGGGCGAAAAGAGTTTTTGATGTGAAAGTAATATAAAAATATCAAAAATAAGTCAGTTATACTTTTCAAATATCACCTTGATTGCTCGTCAGAAAATTAAAGTCAGTGAGAAAATAAAAGTTCATAGGTAAGAAAATTTTCAATTACTAATTAAGAACCTATTTCAAAATCCTTTCTGCTTATTTCTAATATCTTCATAACATGACAAATCTACAATATTCCAAAATGACATATTCAACATTACATGGGCCCATTCAGATAAAGAGAGTGGGGATATAGAATTTCCAGCAATAAATGAGGTGCTTAATCTAACCTGATTAGATCCAAAGTATATTAAAAGAATACAGCCTATGTTGTTTACAGATACACTATGACAATACCTTTATGCTTGGGTTTTAATTTTACAGAATTAATTAATTACAACTTTGATGATGACAGTAGGTATCTGTATCATTCTTTACCACTACAATAGCATCACTAAGAAAACTTGATTCCCTCTACGTAAACTCTCTACTGAGAGTCATAAGAATCAATTTGCTTCTTCTAATCATCATCCTCAAATATATTCATGATCAAAGAACTGGGGTAAAAAAGTCTTACTTTTTCCCTTATGAAACACTTGCACTAATGTCTAGTTTAATCCTGTTTTTTAAAGGGAATCTGTTGCCAAGAAGCAAATAATAACATAAAAGCTATCCAACACAAACCTTTAATATTGAACATTGTGTTTTTGACTATCTTTTGAGTTTCATATATTAATTATTGGCTTTTGTAGTCAGCTAAGTAATAACACAGAGGCATCTGAAACAGCATACAGGAAAGTAAATGAAATCCTCTCCTGGAAACTTTTAAGTCAGGGACCTACCTGTCAAAGCCCAGTGAATATGGCCTGCTCACCCGAGGATCTTCCTCCAAGCCTGTGTTCTCCAGCTTCAACACAGATCGGAATCACATAGAGAGCTCATTAAAACACAAATTCTGCCCTCCCTGCTGCCCCCTCCCCAACCCAAACACACAATGACACCAGTTTCTTTGACTCAGTAGCTCTGCAGTGGCCTGAGAACGTGCATTTTAATAAGATTAAGTGATACCGATTTTCCTACTCTGGAGGCCACACTTTGAAAACCATAGACCCTATGACAGCTCAAATCTATTCTGGAAAGACTTATTTTTAATTAATGAATGCAGATGCTCATCCATAAACCCACAGTAAATTGGAAATATTATAAGTAGTTTAATATACATTAACCTACCGACATCACAGCTTAGCCGAGCTGACTTTAAATGCACTCAGAACCCTTATATTAGCATACAGTTGGACAAAGTCATCTAACACAAAGCTTACAATCAAGTGTTAAATATCTCATGTTCTTTATTGAATACTATACTGGAAGCGAAAGAATGATTGTATGGGAACATGAAGTATGATTTCTACTAAATGTGTATCTCTTTTGCTTCATCATAAAGCGGAAAAATCATAAGTTGAACCATCATAAGTCAGGGACTGTGTATTTTCCCCATAAAGTCATTATCATTAAATATTATTTTTATGCAGCTAATCTTTCCCATACCAATGATGCACATATTATTATTTAAATAATTAAACTACTGTTCTTATATACAAAAACCAAAGCAATTATTTTCTGTATGAATAACCACAGAGGTTTTTAAAAAGCAAAGGAAAATAATACACTTAAAAGAAAGAGAAAAGGTAAGAGATAAAAAGAATAATGAACAGGGAAGTAGAATTATTTGTAGCTGAAATGGAAAGAATTTAGCCCTGAAAAAAACCGTTAAGATCAAAAGGTTTTATCAATAGACTACATCAAAGGTTTTCTAAAGGTCTCTCACAGATTATTAGCTCAAGCTATACATATGAGGCAAATAAGCACATTAGAGACTAAAATTTTGAGTTATATTGTGTTATTTTCTTTAAAGAATATAGCATATTAGTGGATATGTGATGAAGACAGATAGGTATTAACATCAGTTATTTTGTTTCAACAATAAAAAGGAAAATTTGGTCTCATTTGACAGATGAGAAATTTAATTTCTAAAATGTAAAGACTTTCTTTTGGAAGCTACTGGATGAATTATAATATTAATATATTATGATTCTTATATAGAGAAGTATCATTCACAGTGGTCAAAAATTACTTCAGCACATGATAATGGATTGAATACACGTCAGTTACTTACACTGTCTCAACATATATGGTTAAACTGTACCTGAGGCCTATAAGTATTACCAAATATGGTATATAAACACAAATAAGAGGCAGATCAAAACTATAAATGGTATTAAAAACAAGTTGATCCTCATTGGAATTATAAAGTACATTCATGATAAATACTCCATCCCAATAATTTACTCAATGGTACCATCCTTCACACTACATTTATTTTGAATAAGTACTGGTAATATAATTAGCTATTTTCAAAACAGCAACAAATAGCATATCTGCAATTAGCAGAATGAACACAAGTTTGACAAACAGAATGACAGCTGGCTATTTACCACAAGCTTTTAGCCTTTCTGAGCATCAGTTTCCAAATCTGTAAAATGGAAATAATATCACTACCTCACACAATTTGGTGAAGAGATTTATTAAATAATGCACTGTGCTTAACACACTGAAGGTGCTCAATAATTTTAATCTTTCAACCAATATTTTTTGCACTCCTACTGTATGCCAGGCATTCTTACAGATACTGGAAATGAACCAGGGAACAAAACAGACAAAATTATCATCTGCCTTCTAGGAGTTTACTTTCTAAGGTACATTTATTTTACCTTGTTCTAGGCACAGTGCTAGGTACTTTGGGATTGAATAAATGAGTCCCAGAACAGGTCAAGTATTCAATTAAATTAAAAAGATAAAATTAAGATAATCATGCAGTAAATGAATTTAGGGAAACAGAAAGTCCTACGAGAAAGCATGATATGAGGTCAGAGGATAGAAAGGGAGAAGATGCTTCCCAGAAAACAAAGTACTATAAGTGAGCCTTGGGAAATGTTGAGAAACCTAACAGAAGAGATTTATAGATTTTAGAAAAGGTAATATGATTACAGGTAAGAAGGATGGAAAATGTGTTTATTTATTTTTATTTTTATTTTTTAAAGGATAACCTCAAATAATTCTTTGGAAAAAGTAGGGCTTACTGAAAAAAGAATTCACACACACACACACACACACACACACACACACACAGTTTTATGCACTTTAGGTTCTAGGGTACCTGTGCAGAACATGCAGGATTGTTGCATAGGTACATACATGGCAATGTGGTTTGCTGCCTCCACCCCCCGCCCCGTCACTTATAGCTGGCATTTCTCCCCATGTTATCTTTTCCCAACCTCCCTACCCCCTCGATGTCCCTACCCTATTCCCCCTCAAAAAACCTCAGTGTGTGATCCTCCCCTCCCTGTGTCCATGTGTTTTCATTGTTCAAAACCCGCCTGAGTGAAGACATGTGGTGTTTGATTTTCTGTTCTTGTGTCAGTTTACTGAGAATGATGGTTTCCAGGTTCATCCACGTCCCTACAAAGGACACAAACTCATCATTTTTTAAGGCTGCATACTATATCATGGTGTATATGTGCCACAATTTCCTTGTCCAGTCTATCATCGATGGGCATTTGGGTTGGTTCCAGGTCTTTGCTATTGTAAACATCCGTGTGCATGTATCTTTGTAATAGAATGATTTATAATCCTTTGGGTATATACCCAGTAATGGGATTGCTGGGTCAAATTGAATTTCTATGTCTAGGTCCTTGAGGAGTCGTCACACTGTCTTCCACAATGGTTGAACTAGTTTACACGCCCATCAACAGTGTAAAAGTGTTCCTATTTCTCCACATCCTCTCCAGCATCTATTTTTGTAACTTGTTTTTATCCACTTCTTATATCATAAACATTTTTCCATATCATGAACATTTTCCCATATTACTGAATAGCCTTCCCAACAAAATGATACATTTTGATTTGTTGTCCACATTTGTTAATGTGACATGTGAAAATATGGTGATTTATTGCTATGCTGGGACACTTTGATTATTGGGAGGTTAACATCTCCCCTACCCCAACCTTGGACAATTAAAGTTTTTTGTCTTTTGTGAATTGCCTATTTACATCTATTTCTCATTGGGGATCATATATATAGCAGTATTCAACTCTCTCTGCCTTAGTCCATTTGGGCTGCTATAACAAATTACCATAAACTAGGTGATTTGTAAACAACAGAACATTATTTCCTAAAGTTCTAGAGGCTGGGAAGCCCAACATCAAGGTGCAGATATGGTGTCTGGTGAGAGCTCATTTTCTGATTCATAGGTGACACCTTCTCACTGTATCCTCCCATGGTGGAAGGGGAAAAGGCAGCTCTTTGTGGCCTCTTTTCTGAAGGCACTAATTCCATTGATAAGGAATCCTTTCTCATAATCTAATCACCTTCCAAAGGCTGCACCTCCTACTACCATCACACTGGGGACTAGGAATCAACATAGGAACTCAGAAAGAGAGGGAACAAACATTTAGACCATAGCAATCTCTCACTGCTTTTGATAATATCTTTTTTAAAAAATATATTTTATTGCATTTTAGGTTCGGGGTACATGTGAAGAACATGCAAGATTGTTGCACAGGTACATACATGGCAATGTGGTTTGCTGCCTTCCTTCCCATCACCTATACCTGGCATTTCTCCCCCTGTTATCACTCCCCAACTCCCCACCCCCCGCTGTCTTTCCCCTAGTCCCCCCCACCACAGAGTCCAGTGTGTGATAATATCTTTTGAAAGGGAGTATGTAAAATACAGAGCTTAGCATTTGTCTTTTTTGTTTGTTTGTTTATCGTATTTCTTGGTGATATTTTTGAAAGTGGTATTTTGTTATAAACATAATAGCTGCTTTCAAAGATTTTGGAATATTAGGAAAAATATAAAAAAGAAAATCAAGCTGTAACTCTACCACCTAGGAATACATTTTTTGGGGGGTGGGAAGAATATATGAATGGATATACCCATTGATATAAAAGAAACTTGTATGCAAACAGAAATTGCATTAATCTTGTTCAATCCTAATTAATTTAGGATAACGTCTTAGAGTAACAGCTTAATAAATATTTTTGATTAAATGAATTTTATGCATTTATTTCAAAATTATGTTTTACACATAATACATTACATTTTGCTTTTTTATTGAGTACATTGCAAATATATTTCCAGGTCATTCAATCAAAAAAAAAACTTTTGTAACTGAGTTTTATCAGTATAGATATACAAACTGCACTAATTGATTTAAATATTTTGTTACTTAGGCTTTGATGTCATTTTTCATATTACAGATAAGACGGTAATAAATATATACATAAATCTTCATATGCAATTTACATTATTTTCTTAGGCTATATTTTTAGACCCAAGATCACATAATCAAAGGCTATGAAAATTCACAGGTTTTTTGTTTTCTTTGTAGAGACCAGAGCAAAACGGGACCAGGAAGGTACTGAACCCCTGAGCTAAAGGGATCTTTTTGCTTCGGCCTCTCAAAGTTCTGAGATTACAAGTATGAGCCAGTGTGCCTGGCACACAATTCACAGATTTTAATACATATGACCATGTAATTGCCTCAGATAGTTGTATTGATATATCTTTTATTGAGCAGCATAAAAAACGATTCCGTTAAGGCCACAACTCTTTTACAAAACTAGCATCACTATTAGTCCTTATTCAGCAAAGCAAAAAAAAAAAAAAAAGTATTGTTTCTATGGCTAAAATGATTTCTGAAATGAAATAAATTTATCCAAGAAAATAGGGAAGGAATAACTGACCAGGAATAGTGATAGCATCCAGCACACATGTATTTGTTCCTAGAGTTGATAAATCAATTATCCTTTATTTCAAGCACTATTAAATTTATATTTATCAATGCATTGTGCTGTGAGAATTCTCAAACAATCATACTTGTAGCATTTTCTTTGATCTTCCTTCATTAGAAGAACTACTTCCAACTATATGAGACAATAAAGAAAACATGTAATTGAAGGCTTGAACATGCGTACATTTTTTAACCCTTAATTAAAAAAATAAATTCTAGAAAGTATATTTGTCTGACAAGTGAGTCATCTCTGTTCTATTATAAATTATAATCATTTTTTAGCATTTTCCTTCATTTTACTGACAATAGCAAAATAAATGATACCCTATTCAGTTCTATTTAATCACTAAGTATGAAAAGTATTCAGGTTTTGCCAAGCCAGGGTAAAAACTCCCACATCTTGGTTTAGAGCACTTATATTCTCCATCTTTTTCATCCAATTTAATGAATGTTAAATTAGCAGTTGCAGTGTTATTTTTTAAACTCCCACAAACCTTAAAATGTTTCTAAGTTATTTTTCCGAATGTATAAAATCATCTCATTTTAATAAAAATAAACTATCTCAATGTAGGTATAAGATACGTATTTGTAACGAGAATAGAAAACAGTCTAGAAGAAGCAGTTATTACTTTTTGAGGTAGATTGGAGTGAGAGGCTTTTGCTGCGGCACTGAATGAAGTACTCCATTGCTATGGATTTTGCTCTTCAAAAGTCAACAATGGTTTTTGATGATGCTATTATTCTTCACAGAAATGTGACCTAGCTGATTTAAAGGCGGATACAAGTAAATATTGGTGGGTGAGGAGCCCTTATCCTTGCTGATGGATTTTTCAAGGTTGATTTTGAGTTAGAGGCTTGCTCTGTCCATACTGACTTGTTTTTTCCCCTTGCTTAGAACTAGCTTGAAAAAAACGCAAGAAGAAACTTTGGTCTTATTATATCACATTTTAAATACCTGAGCTAGCATGATAAGAGCAGTTAAAACATATTCTTTCTAAAGGTTGGTTATTTTGGGTCCCGGACACCAAAATAACCAACCATTCCCTAAACAACTGATGTCTCTCTGCTGTATATAGTAAATTAAAACTACGTGTTTTATAATGTAAAATAAAGGGTGCCCCAAATAACTAGTAGGTTAAAGTTAGTGTTTTGAGGGAAGTATGGGAGCTTCTTTGAAGCACTCCTTTGAAAAGTATTTCTGAGCAAGCTCCAATACAAACACCTTTCTCCTGAGGAATCAATCTGCTGGACTAAATCTTCAACACTTTCTCTTTTCATCACCTTTGAGGCAGATAGCCAAAATTTCTTTAAACTGCTGATTGCACAACGGGATGACAAAGGAGTGTGTGTGTGTGTCTGTGTATGTGTGCATGCCCGTACGTGCCCGCTTGTGCACAGTGTACCATTTTACAAAATCCAGCATTTAAAACAGATTTTAAAATTCCCCTTTAACATCAAATGATTGAATTTTTTTTTAAGTTCAGTAGCAGCCCAAAACTATAGTTTTGAGCCATGTCATCAAATCCAAACACGACTGGGGCAGTAGCGGGGAGAAACAGGACAGAAACAGAAAGAGGAAAAGCGGGTGAAGCAGAAGGCTGGGACAGTCAAAGGGTTTCGCCGTCTCACTCTTACCAATTCCTCCCTCCGCACACATCACAGCATGATGGTCACGAGTCTCGAAGTGCAAGAAAAGAGCCAAGCACAAATCCGAAGAGTGAAAGCTGGTTGTGCTTCCACGCCAGCCATCTGGCTTGAAGGGGGGGAAAAATCACCTCTCGGACATCTCCCAAACTCCTATGCCGAGCCAGTGACCTATTACTCCCTGCTCTCCGCCTCCAGTCTCCGCCGGGCTCCAGAGCAGCCCGGGCTTCCGCTCACCGCCGAGCGCCCGCTGTCCCGCCCTCCGTGACGCACAGGGGCGGGGCCTGGCCGCTGCCCGGCTCCCAGCTCCAGCTGTTTGACGGAGCTGCCCTTCTATCCAGTGCAGATGCCCCAGTGACCCAGAGTCCTTACAATCTCACCTCTAACTTTCACCTTCCAAGTATGGGTTGCCCGCGGTTGACGGTTTGGTTCTTTGTTTTGCTGCAATTCTAACAATTCACTGCTTTCGCTAAACGTGGAACACTGTGCAATTATTTTTTGGAGGGTAAAAGAGATCAAATCTAAAAATGTCGCGCCACTGCATTCTGTAATCAGAATGATTACAATTCTGATTTGGTCGTTTTTCTCACTCCTTGCCCTTCCGTTCCCTTATTCAGGATAATATGGCTTTGTCCATACACCTGCCAAGGTCCGTTTGCTTAAAACTCACAACTTTTTAAAATTTTAACTCCTAAATAAATTCCAGCAACCTGTCAGGTTTCTCAAAATGTCTAACTAATTTGGAAAGGGGAAAAGCCATTTAGAGAAGGCTGAACCAGTAACTCAGAACAAAACCTAACAATCCTGGCTGCCTGTTTTATCCCATTGAAACAAATATAAAAAGGGGGGCAAAACCTTCCACAACTCTCCCATATTGTGCCTCTTAGCTTCCATTCTCTCAAATCAAATGTGCAGAGAGTGAAGAAAACGAAATGATCATGCAAATGTTTGACTATTAGTGAAGAGCTCACCAGTACACACAGGGAGCTGGTTGGTCGGCTTGAAAATTCTCTCAGACCAAGAGAAGCCAAACAAGTTCCTGCACCCACTGAGATGGTGCCTCTGCCAGATGAGGAGAAACAAGTTCTGGGTGTGGCTTCCTGTGATGCTCCATTAGGGTAGCCTCCATCTGCAGGTAAGGACAAATCTCTACAGCTTAGTCAAACTCAGCTGCCAGAACTAACCCAGCCTAGAACACACTGTTATTTACGTGGCCTCTGAAATTCCTGGCCCTAGTAGCACTTTTTGCAATCATATGACTGTCTCTAACATGCTCTAAGATGAAACACATTTCCTGAGAGTTGACCTTATAGAGGAGACTTAAAAAGGTAACTGGGCCCTCCTGAGCTCCCCCAATCAAGCACTGGTGTTACTTCAGCAGAGGGCCTTCCTGGGAAGGCACATACCAGGACAATTCAGGCATGTAGCTGGCATTTGCAGCCTGTTTGGATTGCTTAAATCAGTGGTTCTAACTAGCTACACATCAGAGTGAACTGGGGAGCTTGATGACACGGCCCCACCCAGGCCAATTAAACCAGAATCTCTGGGGGTGGCGCTCTGGCAATGTCTTTTTTTCAAGGTCCTCTAGAAATTCTAATGTGCACAAGGGCTGAGAAGCACTGCTAGGATTTGAACTATTGTCTTAAAAGAAAATCTATATTATATTTAAATCTAAAAAGCATAGGAGTAGAATAATGGAAAACATTTTGTAATACAAGTTAGCCTTATACATATTCTTTATATATTTATATATTTATATATTTTAATATAAATACAAAAACACGTGAAGGTACACTTCAGAATTGTTTACTCAGGGAAGGACAGTGAGAGGAGATTACTATCTTTTTATTCATGTCTGTCATTTGAATGAAATTTGTGTCTGTATTATTTTTATAATTTCAATATTTCTAATGAAATTTTTTCAAATCAATACTCATAAATGCCATGACGGTCATTGGAATAATCACTATTAAGGTGAGTTTCTGTCAATTTATTAGAGTTTGTTATGTTTAGTGTTGTCTTTTTACAATGTTTCTATAATATACAACTTTTCTCAGTGATTCCTATTTTGGAAAAAGATAAAATACGATTCTTAAGACATTAGCTACTTTAAATCTACAGTCATTTTTAATTTAAAATGTATTTATTTTCTTTTAATTTCAGATATATATTCTTTTTTGTACTTCTCAGAAAGTTTTTTAAAAACTAATATTTTAACTATATGACATAGAAGTGAGGGCACTTCATCTTTTCTAGCTAGAAAATTATTTGGTCTGTCAACAGTACTAACTCTCAATACTTCCTAATTGTCAGTGGGAAATATATGGCACAGTAGTGAAGGGCCTAGGTTTGACCCAGGTTTTAAATCTTAGCTCTGCAAATTTTTGGATGTATGATCTTGGGTAACAGTACTAAGCGCTATAGGTAAAACTGATCTAATAATATATTTCTCTGTGTTATTAACACTATATGAAGTCAGGTAGCTGAAGCGCTTATCACTGTGTAAAACATGTAGTAAGTGCTTAATAAATGATAATTATCAATTCACTAACTTCTATTTTTCCCTTTCTTAAACATACTAAAGGGTTAGTATGGCAGCAAAGACAAAGAATTATCAGAAAACATTTTTCTAAAACAGCAAACAGGATTATTCCTACAACCTATTATATTTGCTACCCAGTTATATGTGAAAGAGAGACGTACTCATTACTTCTGGCTACTGCTTTAACATGTAACATGTAAAGCCACATGGTTTAATTTTGTTTACCTCAAAATATTTCACGTTTCCTAAAGCGGCACACAGGCTGATTTCTTTTGATTCATAATCAACCATTGCTTTTTCTTTGTACTTATTATGACTCAAGCACAGATTAGGACATTTCCCATGATCAGTTTTCTGACTAACTTTTGGCCAAAAAAAAAGAAGACAAGATCAATGCTGCAGGCAATTAAACTTGTCCTTTATAGATGAGCCCTGATTTTAATAACAGAATCACAGGAGTTTCTGTCTCTTTTTTTTCTTTCCTTAATATTTGTTGAGCGCTAGTAAACCATTTGTTAGACACTGTACCAAGCAGTTTATAGCTATGACTTCATGTATTCCTGTTATCATCCCTATGAGGTCATTCCTCATTTAGAGATGAGAAATCTGAGGCACAAAGAGGTGGAGCAACTTATCCAAGATGGCAAGATGGCAGGTGAAAGAGCTGGCTTGAGAACACACATTCTTTATTATTATTATTATATTTTAAGTTCTGTAGCATATGTGCAGAACGTGCAGGTTTGTTACATAGGTATACACGGGACATGGTGGCTTGCTACACCCATCAGCCCATCATCTACATTAGGTATTTCTCCTAATGCTATACCTCCCCTAGCCCCATCACCTGACAGGGCTCAATGTGTGATGTTCCCCTCCCCTGTGTCCATGGAGAACACACATTCTTTTTTTTTTTTTTTTTTTTTTTTTTTTTGAGATGGAGTTTCGCTCTTGTTGTCCAGGTTGGAATGCAATGGCGCGATATCGGCTCACCGCAAACTCTGGCCCCTGGATTCAAGCATTCTCCTGCCTCAGCCTCCGGAGTAGCTGGGATTACAGGCATGCACCACCATGCCCAGCTAATTTTTTGTATTTTTAGCAGAGATGGGGCTTCTCCATGTTGATCAGGCTGGTCTTGAACTCCCCACCTCAGGTGATCCGCCCACCTCGGCCTCCCAAAGTGCTGGGATTACAGGCATGTGCTACCCTGCCCAGGTGAGAACACACATTTTTAATGCAGCTCTATACTGTGGGCTAAGCAGCACAGCTTTCAATAAATTAGGGAAATGCATAGTAAATGATTTTTTGGGGATAGGGTAAAACCATGCTATGACTAAAACCATGCCCTGTTGGCAGTAGAAATTCTCTATTTCTAGAAACAACAAGAATATCTACATTATTATTACTAGTTGTAAACATAAATCTTAACTTTACGTGTGTGTGTGTGTGTTTGTGTGTGTGTGTTTAAGAGAAAATACATTTCCTTCCCTTTATATCGGGTGAGTCCCCTTTTGTCCACAGGAGAACAGATTGGCTTTTAACCTTGTAAAAACCCTTGATACGTAATGATTACACAAGGTATCAGAAAGGGAAACTTCAGATTAGCAGAGATCCAGGCTGGCCCCAGACTTCTAGATAATTCCATCAACGATTTCTTGATTCTGTTTGTAATATCAAGATAATGGGTAACAGGACAGTAGCACTATTCCTTATATGAAATGATGGCCCTTTAGTCTAGGAGAGAATTAATTAGTTTATTATTTAGACAAAGATAGGTACCAGAGCTTTTATTTGAGTAGACATAGTTGCAAAGAAGAAGTATACATTTTTCTGGATAATGTGTATTTCCCCTACTGACCAGAGAAGGCAGGAGTTTGAAAACCTTGAGAGGTGAAAGGATGAAAGTGGGAGATAGTTCTACCTAGAGATAAGATGGAATCCAGCTTCTAAGGAATGATATGTAATCTTGCACCAAATGTGGTAGAAGACCAATGGCTGAGTGACTTTCAGAAAGTAATATCTTAAAAGTTTCACTTTTTTTTTTTTCTTTTTGAGATGGAGTTTCGCTCTTGTTACCCAGGCTGGAGTGCAATGACATGATCTCGGCTCACTGCAACCTCTGCCTCCTGGGTTCAGGCAATTCTCCTGCCTCAGCCTCCTGAGTAGCTGGGATTACAGGCACGTGCCACCATGCCCAGCTAATTCTTTGTATTTTTAGTAGAGACGGGGTTTCACCGTGTTGACCAGGATGGTCTCGATCTCTTGACCTCGTGATCCACCCACCTCGGCCACCAAAGTGCTGGGATTACAAAAAGTTTCACTCTTAAGCTGTTTTCTCTTTCTGTGGTGCTGTATTCCTCCAAATCAGAGCTCTTCAGGTACACTACAAGATAACAATATTGGCCTCTGTGACATCTGCATGGGACCTGAGGTGTCTGGAGCCCATCATGGATGAGAAACTCATGGATCTGATGAAGAAGCCTGTGTTCCAGGCTCTTGAAGAGCACTGCAAGTGGCCGAGAGAATGTTTGTTGTGGTTGGCAAGGAGACTAGGCCAGCACATCTCCAGACACCCCAGGTCCCTTGCAGCTATCTTAATTTTCACATATCTTTACCCTTTATTTTCTTTATTTTCATAATATGTTCTGCTAATTAAAACTTGGCATAAAAAATGAACTGGATTCAAAATCCAATCACTGTATCACAAGGAATTCCAATATTACATTATTGAGTAAA